ACTCACAATATTTTGGAATTAGTTAACTCAATATATCGTATGACCACTTGTTGGGGTGGACATCTATGTCACTCACATCTAAACTTTCCTTTCTCAAGTAATGATTTCTCACGGAAATTTCTTAACGTTTATCTTTTAAAAAACACTTCCATAGGTGTAGGTAAGAACAAGATAACGGATTAAGGTGAAATACATTTTAATTTCTCATTATAAATACAAGTGTTGATCTCAATCGATAACAGTGGATTAACCAATAATATTTGAGTTGAACACCCAATACTTAAGATACATTTGACCCCATACTGTTTATTGCTCTGAAATTTCCGATTTAGACTACAAATCATGAGATTGTATCAGATGTATGTATAAGCATGACTAATCCTTTATTATTGATTCGTTTTTTGTTTTCACTGCTACTGTTCGGTATGTGTGTGCTTATTGGTCTCTTCTTAACAGACTATTATTTTCTGGGTTTGTACTCATTGTATTAATTTACATTTTAGAAGCGGATTACAATTGTCGGCTATGTAAGGAGCTACCAGTTCTGATTATAGTCCTGATAAGATCGAGTGCAACAGTATGAGGATTTATTTAGAAAATTCATCTGTAGGCAAATTTAATCTTACAAACAAGTTGACACAAGAACGGTATTGATAAAAGTGCACGTAAAAATGTATAAAACTTATGCGAATTTTTGTATTAAATCAGCAAAGGGCTCTCTCATACACACAAGGTTCCAAAACTGAAGCAAATTAGCAAGGCTTTGAATTAGTGGCTATTACTGATTCAGTAGCTCAGAGGATAAAGACGTTGAAAAGGTTGGAGCGAAAGGTACTAGGTCAGAATCCCGGTGTGAATATAAAGATTGAGATGTGGGTGCATCCAGTCGATGAGTCCCAAAGAGAAAGATTCATGAGTCATGGATTTCATCGTTAGTTAAAGTCTTTTTATTCTAAGAAACCCAGCTAGGTCTAGTGAATGTAACAAAATGCATTATACTTACTGTTCGTATTATCATAAACACTCTCCTAGTATCTCTCCCTCCCTCTTGTTACAATAAAAAAAATTACCATACTCGTTAGTTAAATCATTTAGGTAGAATAAAATTGAGAATTGTAACTTAGTGCGTGCAGTGTTAATTGTCATTTTCTGAAATATTTCCGAAATAATAATGGTTGAAACATCAAAAACAAAATTAGCCGCGATTAATTATTTATGTACTATTATATATTATTTATACATATATATGTAATTATGATGAATACATAAAGAGTTGTGTGGGAAAATAATTAAAATCGTGATTTTTTTGGTAGTATGGATTGAAGAAGTATTAAAAAAAGTATTCATCAATTGGTGGAGAAATAGTTCTTTTTTTTCAAAAATAGTAGTTACAAATTTTTTCCAGTTGGCACTTACACAGAATGGTGAATGTTTGTTATATACACTAAAAGCCATTATATGTTAATAAATAATGTTTAAATATGGTTTTTGTTATGAATTGAAACTTACTGGAGAACAACTCCACCTGTAGACCCTCTGGAGCTACTGCAGGTCCCAAGCTTGGACAAAGGAAGAGGGTTGAGATTTCGGTTGGCGACAACAGCTAGCAAAAAACTAAATTGTCAAAAAAAAGCTAACAAGAAACCATTTTCACTCTGCTCTGGGAGTCAGGTCTTCATTTAGAGGAGTTATGACGTCTCGTGATGAAAGCATAATTCCTTCGGAACTCACGAGGTCGATGCCCCTTCTGACAACGAGCCCTTTCACGGTGTAGGTAACCGGGAAGTAACATCCGCCCTCGTACCCATAAAAGCATACGACTGATTGCTGGAGAACCGTTAGGAAATGAATGAACACCGAGTAATTGTTTTGAATTTAGACTGAGACTACCTCAATTGTATCTCAACAAAACATTCTTAACATATCAATCACATATGATTAGTGATGATTAATTTGGAGGTGAATTTTCTTAGATTTCGAATCTTGGAAGATATAATCATATAAAATTTACCAAAACACGGAATAAGACTGAACAATGGAAAAGGAATCGAACAAACTATCGTCCGTAGATTTATTGATCACCAGAACCGATGTAGGGAAACTGGAGAAACCGGAAACCAGCCTACGCATACCTAATTCTCAACTACATTAATAACAACCGAAAAACTTATAAAATCAACTAAGTACAAACTTTATTCAAGAGAGCAAAAACGCTGCAGCACAGAAAAATGAACAAAGATATCTGACAACTATTTTTCAAAAGAACAGCTGCCAATGCAACTTCATCAAAAAATACCAACTGAAGCCATCAGCAGAAGTGAAATCAAGCAGAGGAACCAACAAACGGATCACCCTATCATATAAAAAGATCGGCAAGTGCAACAAGATTACAGAAGCCGTTTGGAATAGGTGTGGCACATGAACCAACAAAATGACTGCAATCAGTAAATCAAAGGACAAAATGATAAAAGAAAAACCGAACATCATCTACAAAATAAACTGTTAAATCTATGAAAAACACTACATTGGATAAAGTGAATATCAATTAGCAGTCAAAGGCCGTTACATTTCTTCCTTTTATTTATATCAATGCATTTGATTTGATGTGTTGAAATACTGGACAGAGGGAACAAAAAGAACACTAGAAAATTGCTAGAATCTTGGAACTCAGGTCGACCAGCAATCAACAAACACAGGGACATTGATCCAAATTATCAACCAATCAGAAAGATCATAGACAAGCATAGGATTAAGAGCCAAATCAAAGGGGGATGCAATGAAAGTAAAGAGGCAGACAATGATAGGTTAAAGGTCAATAAGGACCAATCAAGATCGAGAACAGCAGGACAAGCCACGAGTCATATATTAAAAAATTCGATCACTTCACTTCTATCTAAAGTTGCTGATGCTGTTCAAAAGAAGAGCGGAATATGCACAACCAAATCATCCACATCAAAGTACGAAATTCCACCATAATCTATAATTCTCTATCGAAAAATATACATTCCAAAACGTGTACGACGCCATTAAAAAAATCCTACACTAGAACGATGTTTGTTGGCATCGCCTTCAATCCATTTATCCACACACAAAACGAAGTTTCATGCGTAGGATTGCAGAATAAGTTTCTCATGTTTTAGACTGCCATTCACACACGTTCAACACACGATGTATCCGTAGAAAACATTTATGTAAGTAAACTATTCTGCAAAGCTTGCTTTTCAGTATGTTATTAGGCTTATTCAGTTAGTTTTGTTGTGGACGTTAGATCCTCAGAACCCATTTGGAGAAGGTCCTAATTTTGCAATTTATTGCTGAAATTGTTATGCTTTAGCGCCAAAGACGCTTAGTTGATCTTCAGCTTACATTTACCACACGGAAAATCCTTGAATGTCGTTGGATAATATTAGTGAGCTATTTCGTGGCTCTCATCAAGGACGTTTTATCATTGTATAAATAAGCTTGAGTTAAATGCTTGTGGACCTCGTACTTTTTGGTTGCCTATAGAACACATTTCTCTACGTCTTAACAAAACTTCTTCCTCTAGTTAGTGGGGCCTGGGAGATCAGATTAGAGTAGCCTATAGTGTCTCTGAATCATTGACCTTCGTTCATTTACCGAGTAAGGTGAACCCGTAATAGCTGCAAGCATATCAATTTTATGTATGATTGGTAGTAGATAGGGTATCAATGATTACGCTATAACAATAAACACAATGAATAGTAAACAATCATGCAGACCCTAACAACATAGTTTGAATTTATCAACAAGGCTCAGTTCAGTTGTTAATAACCTCCCTAAATTGATTCCAAGTCTTAGTTTGGTCGAAACTTCGTTTTTGTCTAACCAACAGCACTTTTCAAAGTAGGCGGTTGAGTATACTTATTATTTGTTTGCACCATCTTAGTCGACGAAGTTTTACTACATTATTAAACGATTTGCCATCTTTAGTTGGGAATATATAATTTACCTCGAAATCACTCACTAACTAGTCTCGAAATCCATGAGCAATGCTTTCCAAACACATAGTTAATACTAGTAATATGCACATATCTCCTATTGTTAATAGCCATGTTTTACAGCCACAGAGTTGAACAGAGAGAACTATTGAGCAGTAGACTCCTTTGGTTGGATGACAAACGTTTCGGTTATACCACAAGTGATGTAATTTGGCTATGTACAAATAGGAAATTTCTGAATTCAGACTGAGAATTTTTCAAACACTAACCTATTAGGCTGATGACTGCCAAGATAAGTCAGATGATCGACACGTTTTCCTTGATACTATCAATTAGTTCAGGCATAAATGCAAACCAGTCCTGAAGCAAAATTTTGCACTTAACCCAAAAATGGTTTCATTGTTATTTAAGGTAGTCAAAGCTTTGTCTCTAAAAGAATTCTATCACAAATTTAAATAAAGATGGGAAAAGTGAACAATCCTAACGAACATTACTCAAAGTTAGCGATAAACTCTGACTTCACTCATAGTGTTCGAGCAGTGAACCTGTACATGATTGACGTACGTCTTTAGCACGCCTTTATCACTACTATTGTGGTGTGAGCTACTTATAAGTAGTATATGACGTGAGCGTCAACGTAATGTCTGGCAGCAGAAGATGGGGGAAGATCAAGAAAGGAAGAAGAGTGGTAACACAATGGAATTTGTATGAAACGCATGAATAGTGACAATGGATTGATGTTTGCAACAGGAACAGTCCAGTTCGATATGATGAACTGATATTTTGCAAATGAACAATTTACGATATGGTTTTCCAATTATACTGAGTAACTCTGTAATTTCCGTTAAATACAATTCGGTTGCCCCACCTGTGTTCTCGTTCACTACACTATTATTATAAATATAATTATCACTAAGTTTATTTATGATCAAGGCCTCTACCATATAACACTGAACTAATCTCGTTTTAATCATCATCATAAAACAGGTAACATATAAATTAAATTCATCTATGAATTAAAAACCATGTATATTCATGGATAGATAATCAAGGCTAAAAGTAAAAGAATACTGATGTCAATCAGTATTTTTTTTTCAGGTATGTATATATATATATATATGTATATGTGTGTTATTTCGAAGAATGAATCATACACAATAAATTAGAAAAAAAAATAAAGAAGACCTTTTAAAAGTAGCTGTCATTGTCACAATACTTACACTTTATTTAATAAGTAAGTAGACGACAACGTAGCAACAGCATCATTTGTAAAAGAAAAACAACAACTTCTAGTTGAAACAAATACAAAATGGTTGGAGAAAAGTTTACACAATGATGATACAATACACAATACATGGTGAAAAGTGGGAATAGTAGTTGTTACTGTAGCCCACCCAAAAAAAAATTAATTTCAAGAAATCAAAGCTGAAACAATCATTGCTATTGCTACTAACATCATCGTGATTATCAATAACATACAATAGCATGGAATAATAGAAAAAAAATAATAAATGCAGAAGCTTAGATAGTAAGTTTAAACAATTATTACAAACACGAGTAAGCAATATCTTGAATAAGAAACATGATGTTTTGACTGAACACTGTAACGTAGAAATATAGTGGATGGGCTTGTTGTATGTAAGAGAGAAAATAGCAACAAAAAAAATAACTGGTTCTAGATGCAATGCAATAAAGAGGAGATGAATATTGAAATATGGATGGAACCAAAATGAGTAAATTGGATTATTTAATCATCAGTTGTAGCCTTAATCGTTAATCCATGTCACGTGACAATACAGAACACCAATCAGAATTACATTTGGCACCAGATAACGTGAATCAGCCTAAAGTTCTTATTGGTTCACAACCCGATTGTTTCTTTCTCTCTAACCTGCCTTTTAAGTCCAGAAGTTTGCAAGCCAGCCTCCATAAAATTTTCGTTATATATTTCAAGCAGATATAATTTCTGTACCAAATATGTCAGACCACATCACACCATAGAATGGAATAAATACATTTATACATGAGTACGCCAAAAATGGCAGTGAATAGGAGGACTTTGAATAATGAACTAGCAATAGATTAGGAGTAATAAATCACACAACAGTACTTGATGAATTAATCAAAAGCTTATGACAAAAGAAATAAAAATATTTATTAACCTAGTTGTTGAGTGATTATGCAATGAGAATAAATATAATAATAATAGTAATAATAATACATAAATCAATCATAGAGGTTACCATTTCTCTAACCTTCCTCTTGATACAACATCATCATAATCAACATTGGTTGCTAGAGACTGTCAGTTTGTATGTAGATGGGGGGGAGACAGTATCATTACTTTGTAAGGGTACTGCTTTCATGAAATATGAATCAATGCTTTTATCATTATTAGATGAATATATGAAGAGTAATAATGACTTGATTACAAAATAAAGAAATATGAAAAAAAAGTAAAAATATACAAAAGTCAATTGGTTTTTTTTTTACTTCCATATTGAAAGTTGCGGTTGGAGCTTATTATTTCTGTTCTCTAGCTAAATTGATCAATGGAATCAATGAACTCAACGGTTTAGGACATCGACAAATGAATGGATGCTGTGAAAAAAAATGAAAAACACAATCAAATGAATGTGTAAACAAAACAATATTTTTTTCACCATAGAGTTATGGAGATTGTTGTTTAACATTGAAATTTTGAGTCAATAATTGTTAGACAACCATTAAAAACTTGGAACAACTGGATGACTGTTTCGTCCTGGTATTAGACTCATCAGCACTCTCAGGAATCGAATCCAGGACCTTCGGTCTTGTACACAAATGCTTAACCTCTGGACCACTGAGCCACCATCAAATGGTGTTAATGTCTAACTTTGATTAATCTAAGGGTTTTTGCGGTGGGTAATTGCCCACACTCGACAGGGTTAAACTCCACTGATCACATCTTCTTACTAGAGCTCCGAGAATTTCCTCATGAAGCTAGTCACTAATGAGTACATTTTATGATTTTTCATTAGAGATTTATGGAGATTGTTGTTTAACATTGAAAACTAAGAGATTTAATATTAACAACAGTCAAGACTGATATGCTTCAAAAGTATTATGGTAAGTAATTTCAGAATGGATAAGCGAGGATTATAAACATGAAAAATTATCAGTATGTAATTCATTCAATAAAGGATTGTCGTCCTGTTGTGTTGAGTTAATCCTTTGTGCAATCTGGAACTTATTCGCAATGAAAATTCAAAATGAAGTAAGTAGTTACCATTGAAAGTGTCATCGATGTCAGTCAGTCAGTTGAAACGTAGAACTTCGTACGTATGTACATAAGTTCATGTTGCCATACCACATTAGCACAAAGACGCAGATGTCGAATCAAATCCCATAGTGATAAAGATAGTAGAGGTAGTAATGGTAATGAAGAAGACTAGGGTTCGAAGATATTATTCAAGAAGTATAATTCAGTGAAATAAGTTTAGAAAGACAAAGGTAGATGTTCTGACGAATCCAGAAGATTAGGATTTGAGAGAGCTCAATGAATGGATGCACTTGCGCCATTGCAAACGATTTTGAGCCATGTCGTTCAAGGTCTCTAACCATTGGTGACTTTCGTCTCGCGGACCCCAACCAGGTAGTCTACATCTACCAACATGACTCAGTCCATTTGTCAGTGACTTCATGGACTTCTGCTATGTTTTGGTCTGGCCGCCCCTAACTTTCTTCCAACCTACTCCTACACCACAAAACATAGCTCGTCGAGGCAGTCGATGGTTAGGCATAATCATACAATGAGTTATTGGTGAAATGAAAACTTTAGACAAAATGCTCAAATTTAAAGTAAACACATTACATAAACTGAATTAATTTGTAACAAGTGATGTTGACAATTCAACTTAGTACTCTTACTAATACCACCACCACCAATAATAATAATAATAACTGGAAATAACTAACTTGTAATAATTCAGTTGCTGTAGCTCTTCGTTCTACATCCACTTCTAAGCAACGATCAAGGAAATTAAGAAATGTGCTTGATAAAAAGTCATGTTCTTTAATTTCTGGTTTACCATTAGTAGCAATAAGATACAATGCCTAAAACAAAAGGTAATTAATGTAAAAAAAGAAAGAAATCAATCAAGAAGGATGTGATAATCAGTGACACCTGTTGAATAATAAATGCAATATCAATTCAATATAACATTAACAAATTCAATTGACATTAGAGGAAAGACAATGTATAAACAACATGTAACATTTAACATTTCAATAAAATGTTATGAAAGAGATGTTCAAAATGAATTTATGAACGAATTTCTAGGCTGGTAAAATGTAATAATGTAATAACCGATTGAAAGACAAAAAAGTAGCGTTATGAAATGTGACTAAGGGATAATTGATTATGAGACTGTTTGAAATCACCACTGTCATACATAAACTATCAACACGAAATATAAATGACAGAATGTTAGAAGTGTTGGGGATGTTAGATCACCAAAACTCGCTTGATAAATGCCTTATTTTGGTTTTCACGTTTGCCATCATGGGCTGGTCAGTTGGCCTAGAGATTTCATTTCCCACCAGGAAAATCCATGGCTGTGATTGGCTGCTGTGTATTTTAGTGTGCTATTTTCTTAACTGTCCCAAAAACGTTTCCATGATGTATAAATAAACGAGAGTTGTATGCTTGATTGTACTGTGCTTGCTGGGTGTTTATAGAATATACTTTCTACGCTTACAAAGCCTTCTTACTTCCGCTTGGGTTTCAAGGTAGCCTACCTGGACGCTGGTAAAAGTCTCGTTCGCGTTTATCGACTAAGGTAAACTCGTAATAGCCTCAAGCATACTCAGTGACGAACATAAAAAGAAGTGATTAGAAGAAATAAGTTTACAGGTGATTCATTCTTCAACCCATTAAAATCTGATTGTTAGGTTCAGTTCTTGTCAACTGTACCAATAAAATCTCTTACAAATGTGAACCTTTCGATTGTATTTAAAATTGATTCTGTATGAAATCAGTTGGTATACTGGCCTTTTATAATCCTATTAGTTGCATGTATACTGAAGACAGTTTCAAAGGGCTGAGACCACTTACTATAAAAAAGAAAGGGTGATGCCACAGAACGAATGATATTCTCATCAACTTCCTGGTTCATCATGGTTCTCTGGCTAGGCTCATAATGGTCAGAGAATTCGATGTTTTTAAAAATTATCATTATTATTGTTATTATTATTAACTTATTTGACATTTCATTCGTTCACTAACACTGACAATTCCTTTTAATGACTTGATAATTATCGTGATGAATTTCATTGTATGAATAATTATAGGAAATTTATGGGGAAATTACCGTAAATAATATTAGATAACTATGTAAAAAAAAACTTGAATGAACAATTCTGAATTCATATGTGTATGTTGCACATCTTATTGTACAAATGACCAGATTGATATATATATATATATATAAATAGCACAAAATCTATTCTTACTCGAACAGGATTTTCATTTAAATAAGGTGGTTCACCGTCTACCATTTCAATAGCCATAATTCCTAATGACCAAATATCCACTTTCGGTCCATATTGTTTACGTAAAACAACTTCTGGTGCCATCCAATACGGTGTACCAACCATAGTTGTACGTTTGGTTCCATCATTGCTTAATTGTGCACAAAAACCGAAATCTGTCAGTTTTACAGATCCATCCATTCCAAGAAGAACATTGTCTGATTTGATATCACGATGAATAACACGATTTGCATGAAGAAATTCAAGGGCATGTAATATCTATTACGGTAATGTAATGAACAAAAAACCAAAGTGTATATATTCATACAATAATAGGTAACATTTAATTGATGAATGTAATTATTTAATTACTGTCATGCTGAGAGATGTAGTGTAGTAAAAAAAAACTAATTTATATTAACCGATTGGATTTATAAAGAATGGTCATTAACTAGTAGGAAGTTCTTGATACAGTGTATTCCTTTCTCTAAATATTTAGTGAATATCTGCAAACTTTCAATAAACTCTAGTTGAAAGTAATTATAATTTGGATTTATAAATTAGTCTTGGACACAAATAAATAAAAAAGTAAAGAAAACAACTGGTTATGTAAGGTAGAACAATAACTAAATTACGACACACTGCATTTCAGAAACGAATTTAAGTTGAGAAAGTGATTGCATCAGTTAATTCGCTGAAGTCATTGTGTCAAATGTTAACCTACGGTCAACCAGAATTCAAAGATTTTATACTAAATATGTGAAGCATCGGCATTCGCAATTCACTCAGTTGCTAAAATCAAAATATATGCAATGCGACTGCTGACCACGGCCCTACATCAGCTTAGGCGCAGTGATTTAAGTAATTGAGTCTCATCACTATATGCAACGGTCTGAAAAATGATTCTGCTTATTTCAGACGACGAATATAGACATTATACCAAATCGTTATAGAATAAATATGACACTGACTAGAACACAAATTAGTATTTAAACAAATAACTCAGTTGCATTAACACAACTATGTAGATGTAGACACATTTATTTGTTGATAAATATTATACTAAGCACACTAAATTTGACGATTCCAATGTTATACCGGTTGATTCTTTTCCCAATTATTTTCCCTGTTGTTAATATTGTAGGAAAAAAATGTATGCGAATGCCAACCTCCACCTCCAGACAACTGCAAATAAGTATGCTTCATATTAGGGTAGGACTTTCATATGTTTTTAAGAAAAATACAGTTAATCAGTCAGCTACAAGGTAGAACTTTGTACGTACATACATCCGTTCAAGTTGCCATACCACATTAACACAGAGATGAAACTGGCACTTCAAATCCCATAGTAGTAAAGGTATTAGCAGTAATAAGAAAGATTAGGGTTGGAAGATATGATTCAAGAAGAAGAAGAAGACGGCCAAAAAGAATTTAGAAGATTAGAATTTGAAAGACGACAAAAAAAATGGAGGAAGAGTACAAATTAAAAAAGAAACAATGTTGAATAAGTTTGACAGTAGAAGTAAACAACAACTGGTAAAAAACAAAGCCATTGGTTTGTTTAACCACTTAACAAACACGCACGTATACATTGAACGTTTGTCAAATGTAAGATAAACATTTTAAAATATGTTAAAGACAAGAATAAAACAACTGTTGAATATGTAAATAATTGGTCAATCTATTCAATTTGAGAAAAAAATCGATCTTGTTAGAGCGGATTCTCCGCCAGAAAATCAATTTGTTAAGTGCTGTGATAGTGACAGATATATTGAGTGTTACCCATATACATAGACTTTTGTTTTATTTTTAATTTTACTCAATAATTTGCATAAGTATTAAAGTCTATCATGGAAAATTTTATCAGAAATATCCTATTATGATGGTAGGTATAAATGTTTGCTAATGTGCTCACAATTCAATACTTTTGAAGAGGAATAAAAGGCCGTCAGATAAACCAAGGACATTTTATCCTCTTTATTCACATAAATTGCAAGCTGGATATAACAATACAGTAATGGCATTAAGGTAATATTGACATACATACATACATACACAGTTAGACAGAAGAGAGTATAGTAAGACTAAAACACGGATTGGATAAGCAAATAATGAATACAGTAACAAAAACTTGAAACAAAAGTCCAAAAAAGTGAGAGAGTAAATAGATATCTGTTAATATATATGGAGAACAAAATAAGGATTAAACAGACAAAAAAACGACAAGACAATTTACATAGGTAGATGAACACTGACATGCAGACATAATATTGATTAAATTGAAAAATATATGCATTTTACCCTGGGAATAAATCTTTCTACATTGTATCGAAAAGTGAAATAAATCTATTGAATTGTTGTCGATCTGGTTATATTTATTCTTGTTCATTACGAATCACACTACATATTTGTATCATTCAATTAAAATGTAACAAATTCAACTAACGCATCCATATTTTTGGTTCCATACTGGTGTCTATCATACCAATCGATAAAGTCAACTACTCAGCCAAACATAACTCCTTGTAATCAGCTTCGAAAAATTTTGAAATAACTTTATGAAACAGTAAAAAATAACTTCCCATTTCAGAATTTTGTACACATAACGGAGTCAGGCTCTCACAAAATGTTCTTATTTTATAACATGTGAACCATTATTGATCATTACTAACGGAGAAAAAAATTACACACTTAAAATCTGTATCTGAAAGAACACAGACCAAAACAAAACAGTCCTGTGGTCCTTCAATAGTAAGAGTCATTTTTGCTCAACTAATTTATGATGTCAGCCTTCACATTTCCTCATCCATTACCCTAGAACTTGATTCCGATTTACAAATCTCAGTCAATTCATATGGTTGACTAGAAGATAATTACAATAGTAAGCTGTTGCTAATCTAGGATGACATTTTGTTATGTTTAAAATGAAAATGAAATCTAAAGAGTGACGAGCAATTAATGACGCATTTATTCTTAAAATGTTTAAGTAATTTGACTGTCAACAATTTACATTCACAACTGTTTGAATTGTTAATTAGTTTGCTAAATAAACAACATGGTAGTAATAATCAAGTCAATTTTAAGAAGCAGATATTTTCCTCAGACAAGCTTACCTCTCGGCATATTGAAGCAATATGTCCTTCTTCCATACATGTTTCAGTGACAACATCAGTTAATGAACCACCATCTAAATACTCCATAACAACCCATAATTCTTCACCACCTTTAGACGAACTCTCTGAACTGATTGTCGATGAATTGAGAATATCATCATTCTGAGTTGATTGTTGGTGATTATGATTTGAATCGTTCGTATAAGACTGATGATGATGATCCATATTAGTAGAAATTGAAGTGGACACTAAATAACTGTCTAGATAATTTACAATATTAGCTTGACGATTAGCTTTCATTACTAGAATTTCATTAATGATCAATTCTTTTTTAGGTTGTTTAGCTAAATTCATTTGTTTAATAGCCACTAAATTGCCAGTAGCTATTTCATATCCACTATATACAACACCAGATGCCCTGGAAAAAAGAAACAATGAAATGGTGTTTTCATTTTAAAAGCAAAAAAAAACAACAATGAAAATGGAAAAGTGATCAGCATTTTATGATATATCCACCATATAAAATGAAATTGTAAATTTACTGACATACATACACACTGTGTCAAATAAGAATATGGTAATTATGTCATTATTTTAGTCAGTCATATAGAAAGTAAAGCCTGACATATGTACATATGTGCAGCAATGCAAGATGGTATATCGTATTAGCATGGCGAGATACAATTATTTTAAGACAAATCTCAGAGTAGTAGCAGTAGTGGTTGTTGCTGTTGTATTAGTAATTGCAGAATAGGCTAAGTACAGGGAAAGTAAAAAAAAACATAGGGAGACTTCGGGATTCAGTTTCTATAGAAGAGTGTAGCTTAATAGCACCTGCGCTATTGCGAACAACTCTGAGCCGTAAGGTATTGTGCATGATTAGTAAAACTAGTCTACTACAAACTACAATCCTGTGGTGACGTAATTTAATAATTAAAATATTTAACCTTAAGGTTTTATAAGTTTAAACTCATTCTCACGAACTACTTTGAGTTTAGGCAACCGGCACAATATTATGGCTTATGATCTAGATATACAAGAGAGACAGGTGGATATTTCTTAGAACCACGAAATTCAATAACATAGTCAATTAAGTTATTTTTGTTACTTAATGACTGAGGAAAGTATATTCATTTATTGAAACTGCTTTGTTATTTTTTGTTGAAGTGATGGCTTAAATAGAAAATTATGCATAAATCAATGACAATATTAGAGAAGCAGGTTCCAAAGAGGCAGCATATTTATAATTTGAAAGCCTAAAACTAATAATGTTTTCAGACATGGTGGTGATCACTTGAATTCCAGTAGATGGAGGTAGGATAAAAATGATTATTTGGAAAAGGTATCCGCAATCACATGTACTTTCTTCCCCAAACGTGAAGTTAAGATACGGCTAACGGAATAATACATTGAGATGCGGATCTATTCATTTTAATGAGTCCTAAAATAGAGCCAAGCATGAAAATCAAGTTTCATGCCACGCTTTACGGTAGTGTAAAGCGATGTTATTGAATTTCAGAGAAAGCAGTGAATTTTTTAGGTTTTGGAGATATACTACTTTAAAAGTGTACAAAGAATCTCAAAACATATTATCACCATTAAGAAAGGTTTGAATTGTCTCACTGATATCAGTGCTGAATTTTGATCACTCTTTGTTCATGCATGTACATCTTGTGAGGACAGCCTCGATATATCTATTATGGCACAAGTTATTTAGAATATATTGATTGTTGTTGGTAGTGAGATTCAAGACGAGTCCCAAGTGCACAATTTAGCCATGATTCATCTGTTCTAAATAAACGCGAAATTTATTTTTTTTAAAGGTTTTCAGTGATAACACCAAACGAGACAGGATCACGAAAACTGTCTGTACTCATTCATCAGAACTCTATTCAAAACCATAGTAGATAATTAAGTAGGTTGATATTATAATGGTAAAACTGTTTGTTTATCAATCAATTAATCACTCTAGTCAGAAGGAATTCCAGCAACAAGTCAGTATCAATAAATTAGACACAATTAGAATAGCATATAGTTATTCAAATGGTTGTTGTAGTTTGAATCTACTGTTTGATAAATATAACACTATTCTATCATCATTATTATTAAAGATCTTTAACTTATATTTAAATTATATATAGTTAGACTTAGGAAAACCTATTTCTTAAAACTAAGCAAAGCAAAAAACTAATAGTCGTTTCACTTTAAGCAATTCGAAAGTATACTTACCCTTGACCGATTTTGTCTACAATACGATATTTTTGATATGGATCACCTTTGCTTACAATAGCTCTCAACTTATCGCGTACTTGTTGATCTGTTAGTCGATGATTTCCTGTACGACGTCTAGGTGCACTAGGTGTAACTGTTTTGCCTACATTCTCAGTAGTAGTGGTAGTATTAGTAGTTGTTGTTGTAAGCACAACAGTCTTATTAAAATCCATTTGATCATTAAGAGGTTGGTGCGGAAATAAATGAGGAGATTGGAGTACTTTAGTTTGTTGTTGCTGACATTGTTGTTGAGTGCGTAACATATGTGTTAGACCCTGTGGTTTGACTGGAACAGCTGGTGGTACAATTTTATCGGAAGCTGATGTCTGGATGACCTTCGATGCTCCATTATCCTTACCTAGAAGGAATAAGCAGATACATCAATTGATATAACTAAATAGACAAATGTCATCATAATTAGTATATTATCATTTGAATGAGAGATTATAATGTGAATAATAACTTTTCTCTAAAATAAAAGACAATTGGCAAAGCCTTTACAACTAAGGTGTATAATATGTTTTCAGAAGGGTTATTAATTGTGAATGGAGATATTAGTCAGTCGGTCAGTTACAATGTAGAACTTCGTACGTACGTACAGCAGTTCAGGTTACAATACCACATTAGCACAGAGACGTAATTGTTGCTTCAAATCCCATAGTAATAGAGGTAGTAGAAGTATTAGCAGTAATCCGAGAGATTAGAGTTCGAGGATATTAATGAAGAAGTGTAATCTAGTGAAATAAACTTAAAAGAGAAAAAGATAAAGGTGATGAGGAATTCAGATTAGGATTTGAGAGAACACAAAGAATGAATGCACCTGAGCCATAGTAAACGGTTTTGAGCCATGTCATTCAGAATGAAGATATTAACTAATCCCTACGCATATATCTAACATTACTGTTATAGATCTGTACACGTGTAAATTTGATAATAATATCATACTGAAATTCATTCAATTTACTTACTAATATTCACCATATTTGTAGCATTCGCATTGTTTGTTGAGGCGGATACACCGTTCCGATTATCCAGAGCTTCACTGGTAACACCATTTTCCGATCCCTATAATAAATTTTGTAAATATGATTAGAAAGTATGATAAGATTCTATTTGATAAGAGTTTATTTCTGTATCCTGTAACTTATTAAATGCAATAATATTATTTCTATCTATGACAGTAAGATTGGACATAAATATTGAAGCCGAATATTAAAACTTCAAATCAGTGAACTTCATTATTTAGGAGGCTAACATTAGTGTCAAACTAGTGTAAATATGTTAAATAGGCAATGTTATAAGAATAAGATATTCGGTCTCATTTTACATGTACAATGTACAGGATACATCGGAAAGCGATATGTAATGAACTCCACTACCTAGGTGATGGAATGAAACAGACGAAAGATTTACGGTATATATATATATATATATATATATGTTTTAGAAAATGTACACTTTATTTATTGTTAAGCATACCTTGGACATAGTCATTGGAGTAGGGAGATTACTACACGTCTCACTGCTTGTCAACCATTCGACAGTAACTTGAGATGTGGTTATTCCATTATTGTTGAATTCATTTTGTTCAATCTCGCTCTCTTCATCATCTTCACCCAACTCTTCACATTCTTCTTCTTCTTCTTCTTCTTCATATTCTTCCTGTTCCTGATCTTCATCTTCAATATCTTCATCTTCTTCATCGGAAGAAGATTCTCCAACCATTATACAAGATTCTGGAGCTAATCTATCTCCTTGATATGGTAAACATGTGGATGATTGAGAGATGGTCTTATGAAGCAAATATGTATGCCGTAGAGTACCTCCTTCTTCAACACTACTACCAATTTCAAAATTATTTGTACAACTTTCAGTATGATCTAAATTTTTCAGTGCGACAGTTGCATGAGGTGGAACAGGTGGTGGTGATGATGATGATGGATAGGGAACAAATGAACTACAATTGTTAGATTGTAACATTGATTGAGATGGTAACATACTAGGTGGAAGAATACTTGTTGGACTATTCTCAGTATTATTTGTAGCGCCAAGCAAATTCCCAAACATACTAGCTGAACTTGTTAAACCTGAAATACTGATATTTCCACTAGCACCTGAACAAGATAGTGAACAACCACTGCTGCTATAAAATAATAAAACAAAATATTAAAATGAAAACTGTTAATTAGAACCTTGAAAACAATGTAACACTTTTAAAGAAATTAATATAAAGAATTCATCCAAAGAAAACAAAGCTATTCGATAGATGAGTAGTGAAGGCAGATGATCTTAGATTATTGATTTTTGAGATAAACATTTATTCTTCTTTAATAATCAATTCATTGGTCAAAAGTTATAATTCATACAAGTTTTAGATAATGATAACAAACTTCTTAGATAAATGAACTGCTATTTATTTAAAACATTTCGAATCGGAAAAAGGTTTCTTTTGTAATAGGCTATGGCTTTTTAAGCATCTGGTTTACTGTTTAAATTAGATCGAGTACATATGGCCTTCAATGAAAAAGAGAAAAAGGCATTCAAAATTCATGAAATGGTACTTGGGATATTTAATATGATTTAAATAGCTTACCGACTGCTAAGTTCACCAAGATTAACATCGTATGTAACTGGGAGAGAAGGTACAGAAACAGTTGAATGGCTATTATGGCTATCACCAACTAGATTGGTGTCTCTAGAATGACGACCATGACTGAGTTGTCCGTTTGTAAGAGTTCCTGAATTCTCTGAAATCATGGAGTCTGGTCCAGAACGAGCAATATCACCCGTATTGTTAGTGCTTCTATGATTCCCAAGGGCTGGAGACATTTCAGGAATTGTAGAACCACTTGCACGTCCACCAAATGTACAAGTTGGACTGATGCCACCCAAAAACACAGCTCCTGTGCTTGTTCTTCTTCCAGGTCCTGAAGGACACCCATGAGAGTGATTAGAAGTTAGCTCAACTAAACTTGCAGCGCTTAAACCATTTGGAACACCACCACTTACGCCGCGACCACCAACACTGCCACTATTAGTGGTACAGCTGCTACCACGGCCGCTGCTATTGCTACCGGCACAAGAATGAGTAGTTGCCGGTAAAGCACTGGACATTATTCCCATTCCTGTTAAATTAGTTCCAGCCAATGATATAATTAAATTATTTTCTTCAGCTGAAATAGATGTAGACGCTATGGAATTAAATGCAGCAGATGGATAGGAGCCTGAATGTAAACAGCTGGTGTCACAATGATTTGGTGCTGTTGGTATACTTTGAGAGGAAACTGAGCACGAACGGGAGGTGGAATTTATAGACTCAACGGAACCAGAGGAATCTAAATTAAGAAAACAATTACCTCACATAAATTGGAGAACAAGATGAGCAAATAGTAATACGGAGTATATAGTACTTTAATAAGTAATAAACAATAGAGCATAAACGACTTTATGTTGAATTTATTATAAATTCGTAATTACGTGGTAGGTATACTCTAAGCAGACTGATGTCTGATTAGTCGTGGAGATTAGAGAGTGATTAGGGGGTGTAGGAAGGATCTGATCATGACCGATTTGGTCTCGTGTAATTTCACAGGGGTGGATGTCGCTTCCCGGCTGCCAAGACCGTGGAAGGATGTTTCTTGAGGAAGCTGGAAACGAAGGTAGACTAGCGTTGGTCCTAGAGACCTGAGAGCGTGACCGCAGAGTCCAAGGGACAACTGCTTGAGGCCGGTCACGCACGGCCTTTTTATGAAAGGTCTTTTGAGTTTTAGCTCCGCTCTTTTTAAAAAGCCATACAGCTGGAGACGGAAATAGGCAAGATAGGTTGAGGTGTGACATTTTGATGGTCAACCTTTTCTAACCCCTTCCTTCCTTGTGAGGAGACGGCATCACTGCAGATGCTGGTTGTCCGAGGGAAACACCTTACTGCAGTCAGTAGTACGATTTCTTCCTCAGACCTTGAGTAGCTGCTTTTAGTCTCATCGTTCTCGAACCGACCTGCCTGGCTGGCATGGTAGAACCGTTAGGAACATATGTTCCAATCAATATAGCTCCGTTGGGTGATCATAATAGGCAAGCCCTACCACCACCACGTCAAGGTAGCAGCTACGGTCGGGGCGTTCAGCGGTATATTATCGGTGACTATTTATCAGATACCTACATAGGCACTATGTCAATGGAGATTCAGAAGAACATACGTATTCAAAATCTTATTAAGACCAAAGGTTAGTATTGTTTACTAACAGATAGAACTTTTATCATACAGTATAGAGGCGGTTGGGAAATGTTTTACATGAGCCTAATTACTGACTGGCTTGACGAGCGATGTTTTGTGATGTAGGAGTAGGATCGAAGAATGTTAAGGGTGATCAAACCAAAACATGACACAAATCCATGAAGTCATTGATAACTGGATTGAGTTATGTTAGTAGATGTGAACTAACTGGTTGGGGTCCGCGAGATGATAGTAACCAATAGCTCGAGACCTTGGAGAACATGGCTCAAAACCATTTGTAATGACGCACGTGCATCCGTTGTTTGTCTTCTCTAAAATTTTAATCTGAATTCTATATTACCTCTATCTTTCTCTTTATAAATTTATTTCACTGAATTATACTTCTGGGATCAAATCTTTGAACCCTAATCTTCTCCATCACTGCTAATACTTCTACTACTATGGGATTCAACTGAGAATCCTGTGCTAATGTAGTATGGTAACTTGAATTGATGTACATACGAACGAAGTGCTACGCTTTAGCTGACTAACTGACTGAATCTGCTTAGTGTGATGGACAGAGGTTGATGTAGAATTAGGAACAAATGTATATCTACCCAAATTTTCTCAATGTAGATAGGAATAGTGAAAGACTAAATAATAAAGAACCACGTGATTGAAAATAGTACATAAAAACAATAACAGTATAGAGGTGGGAGAAACGGAGGTTAATTACAGTCAGTGAGGAGAAAGTATATTTAAATTGAATGGACCTATGATAGCGGGCAACAACCCACTAGATATCAACCAGGAATCCTATAAATTTATTGGCTTGTGCTAAGCATTGGACTAGTCGCTTTTAGTCCCTTATTAACTGGAAAGAAGAGTCGAAATAAAATAAACGTCACTCTAAAAAAGTTATTCCCTTTTGAATGGATTACATTGTCATTATTCACTGGCAGGTAAACTTGTTCCGTTCACTATTCATTAAATTTTGTCATGATATTGTGGCGTTGGACTTTCTTTAACTTTTAAATTCCGTATATCTCCATCTTGATGATCGCTACACATAAGTCGCCGCCACAATTTCGTTTTTTAATCAAAATATTTTATGATCGATACAAACATCAGATTTAATTCAAATATAAGTAGTCGATATTGCCATCGAACTATTTAAACTGTTAATCGATAGAGCTAATCAAATAACTATATTGTCCAAACATACATGAGCATAAATGCTCAACAATGATAAAAGTACGAAATATATGTAAGGTGCTAACAATATTAAAGTCTTTTATTTGGTTGAATCATTGTTTATATAGGAGACAAGATGTTTTATTATCTGTTTAAATGTGATGTAATTCTTATTAAAACTTTATAGCGATTAAAATGTGCAAGAAAAAACTTGGCATAATTTCAATTTTAGAATTAATGGTGAAAAACTTTTACAGATTCTACCTCGAAGCCTAGACTATGAACGGAAGCTGGAAGCACTGGACGGCCGTCTCGTACTAGTAAAGAACGTCTTGACATTGGGCATCTACGACGCTACTGAGGGTCGAACCTATGAATTTCATTTCATAGGTGATGAAAGGTGGTCATGCAATATTGCAGATTGATAAAAATTAAGACATATACACCAATGAATGTCGTAGTCGCTTTCAGCCCCAGGATGGGTCGTGGATGTGGTGCACTCAGGAGGAAAAACATTGTGGCGAAACAGCTGTCCGGTAATTTCTAGTTTTCAATGGTGGTCTAACTAAGAGATCATTCTGTGATGTAATCGATGAAAAAAGCCATATTCATGAACAACTTACTGACAAACATAATTCAGTTTACTGTTATAAGAAAACAAAAATGTATGTTTTGTCAATGACTACTAATTTTTTCTACGTAGTTATTAGATGAACCAAGTGTAAAATATCATGAATGTGCCAAAAATGTATGGAAAAATTTCTTTCTACAACTTAAAATTAAACATAAAAAGAAAAAGAAATAACAACATACTTGTAATAACAGATACGTTTGTCATATATTTATCTTTTTGTTTAGCTGATTCATCAAAGCACTGTAGTACACCAAGAAGAATTTCCGGATTTTTTTCTTGTTCTGTTTTTGATATGTTTGATGCTGTTAAAAGCATCTGCCATGACATCGGAAGACCCTGATAAAAAAAAAATCACACAGTATATAACACACAATTCACATTATATTCACTTCAGCAAAGTAAACAATATAAGAAGATAAATACACACGAAGGAAGTAACACAAAACAAATTGGATCGATTTTGATATTATTATTATTATTATTACCATTATCATGAATGTAGAGAGACAAACAAATATACAATTCAGTTGATTTACAACTGTATGGACATGAATACTTATTTATCAAGAAAATTTCTGACAGATTTCGCATATTCATATAAAAAAGTGTTACTGTTAAGACAATACAACGAATAGATTAGATACATAATAATAATAATAATAATAATAATAATAATAATAATAATAATAATAATAATAATAATAATGAGAGAAAGACAACGGAATAATCTGTCTGGGGACACTGAATGATATTTATTAAATCTAATATCAAGCGACAAATCAGACATAAAATGAATAAAGAAAAGATGGGAAAAGTCATGTTTAAATGTTTAGTTAGACATTTTTCTTCTTAAAAATAAATTGACACAATATCGGCCAAAATACTTATACAAAAAATAACTAGTTTTCACTTGAACATGTACTGGCCTTCCCATGACTTCGTAAACACACAGACACACACAAAATCTGCTCCCCGGTTGTTGATTCATTATTTTTACTGATCAGAACAATTGAATGGATAGATTAATGGCTGAAATACTATTACATTTAATAATTCACACATTTTTTCAAATTATAAGTTTCACTAGGGACATAATATAATGAAGTACAGTTAAACTTTAAATTACACTTTAGCTCATTAGTTTTAATTAATTTGAACCTGAGATTAATTATGCATTATTTAAATATAGATGAGTTGTCATGTAAAGTCCAATATTTAGTACAAGTTATTAGTATTTGCCTGAATCACTGTAGATATAATGAGAATAATAACACTGGATAACTAGGCCAATAAGTTAAACGTATGAAACTTTGTATAGTATTTTACAGAAAAATACTTTGATAACGATCGATAACAGTCTACTACTAATAAATTTCAATCCTAGTTTTATATTTAAATTTTGTTAGTGGTGTTTCGTTCTCTGAGCTGGATGTTTTGGTTGTGGAGATTTCATTGTTCTTCTGAACAACATCATCAGCACAAAATTCAGATACTTAAATTTGTATTTCACGGATAGGATTTGAAGCATGATATAATTTTATTGTCCGAATTCTTAATAAACTAAGGACTGATTGTCGATTTGAACAGTGACCAAAATAAAGTTGCTGTTACTGTTGATTGACATTCTTTATGACTGTGATTTTCTCAATCTCTTTCATTTGTTTTTTTTCTCATTTTGATTATCTTTCAAATATTTATACTGTTATTTTCTTGTGTACTGTATCTTGTTATACTAATGTTGTATCAAAACAAGTATTATGATATTGAGAAAAAACAGAGCACATAAAACATTGTATGCTTATGGATGATTATTAAACTGGAAGTTTTGATAAACCATTTCTAGAAACACGCAAATAGAAATACCAATGCAAGGAGTAGATGCACACCTTCAAAAAAACATGTACTATACTATTCTACTACTTCCTGAAGAAATCAGGAAGAAGAGCAGGAAGTGGATGGGATGCATTGAGTAAAGTATCAACTGCGTCACAAGACAAGCCCTCACTTGGGAACCTCAAAGTCAAAGGAAAAGAGGAAGACCAAAATACATATTACGCCGAAAAATGGGGAGACATGACAATGAACAGAAGTGGGATAGTAAGTAATTAATACTTCATAATAACTGGTGGTCTGGCCTCCGATCGCTAAGACAAAAGAAAGCACAATGTGTCTTCTCTATATAGAGAAAAATAATAAGTAGTAGTGGAGCCTTGGTAGATCATAGAGAATCAGACATTTGAGATACAAGTTTCATAACACCTGATTAATTGTAGGCGTATAGTTCAAAAATACAAAATAGTGGACATTAGAGAACCCACGTTTTGACCGATTTCAGTCGAAATAATGCACTTTTTAACACACTGACTGAAATCACTAACCATGATTAGTGTACAAGAAAAACTGCTGTACATTTTTATGCTATAAGTATACTTTTCAGATCATCTAAATTAATTTCCATCAGCCTGCCACTGATTGTATCCGCATGCAATGAGTGACCACTACTAATCATTGATATACCATAGATACAACTGCAAGTTTTGATAACGAAGTTAGAAATCATTACTATACTAACCAACTAGCTAATTCATATAAAACTGATAACAATGTATTCATATCAGCTAATTGAATCACATAATGAATCATATCCGAAAGGTAGAATGATAATAATTTCTGAGATTGAAAACCAAACGAACAAGGCGGGTAATGAATGAAGAAAAAACTATTGTTATACTAAAAAATATTCAAGTGAAACTTGAGGGAAGTAGTAGAGGGGAGAAAAAAATATCGAACAAGTCAAAAATAAGCAAATAATAATTTTAAGATAATCATTTCAATAAACTGTTAGATGAATATGTAATTTCAAGTTTATATTTTTACAAGAAGGATAAACTTTGTGCATATAAGATTTATATTTTATGCACATAATTGATGTGTTATTTTTCAAAATAAAAAAAATAAAGTCATGACAAATATGATTAAACCATTTCCACTTAGATAGAGTAGTATTTTCTAAATGATCTAAACTTGCATAAAATATACACTTGGGATATATTAGTTTATGTGCTATTTGGTTGTTGTTTAGTGGAACAATTATTTGCCTACGCGATCAGAAAGTGGCTTTTAATGGGAAAGAAAAACAACAAAACTAACGATAACTAACTATATTTAAATAAGAACTTGTTTTTTTTTCTCCATACAAATCACGTGATTTGGCTGTATGCCATATAATTTATATTGGACGAAGCGGAAGAGTGTAAAATAAAGTTTACATATATATATACGGAGGTAGTAAAAAAAAATTAAAAAAAAAGGGTTAACCGAAATATGCAACAGATTTTCGTCTCGAATGTAGTACAACACATATTTGAGAAAATTCATTTGTTCTATACGCATATAATTTATCATAATTTGAATTAATTAAAATTCATTTCATTTAAATTACACCATTTTTACATAATCAGGATAATTCATTAAAAAAAAATACTACGTCTGTCTTACAAATAATTGAAATCAATCTTGATATTATAATTATATTGAAGTAAATAATAATAGACATACATACTCTTCAAACTGAAGAAATTTCAACTATTTTATCAATAATTTAAGATATAATACAACTACAGTGACCATATACAGTTAGACAACAACAACATAGAACTTCGTACATACGTACATCAATTCAAGTTGTCATATCACATTAGCACAGAGATGCATTTGTCACTTCAAATCTCATAGTAGTAGAGATAGTAGAATTATTAGCAGTAGTCGGAGAGATTAGAGTTCGAAGATGCTATTCAAGAAGTATAATTCAGTGAAATAAATTTATAAATAGAAAGATAGAAGTGATGAGGAATTCAGAAGATTAGAATTTAAGAGAACACAAAGAATGAATGCACCTGCACCGTTGCAAACGGTTTTGAGCCGTGTCATTCAGAGTCACTAACCACCGATTACTTTCATTTCGCTGGCTCCAACGAGGTACTTACCAACATGACTCAGTCCACTTGTCAATGACTTCATGCATTTCTGTCATGTTTTGGTCTGACCGCCTCTAGCTTTCTTCCAACCTATTCCTGCATAATAAAATATAGCTCGACGAGGCAGTCGGTGGTTAGGCATACGTAGCACATGTCCCAACCACTTCAACTGATGAAGTTTCAATAATTTGAACGGGTTCAAATTATTCTGATTAGAGATTTTTTCTGCATGAGATTTAGTCATATACCACCAGACACTACTATAACTAACTAATGTTATACTATCTCCAAGCTGAAGCAATTCGATGGGGAGCATATGAAAGTGTAACTAAGTTGTTGAAAGGTGTGTGCTTGTTAAAAACTACTACTAAGCCATAGATTCAATCATCACATACACAGATCACAACTCTGTAAAACACCAAAGTAAACAAAATAGAATCAAAGTAGTGCATCGATTCAATGATTCAAATGAACATTAACACATTGAATAAAACAATGAGTCGAACACCGAATACCTTTACAAATCTATCAAAATAGAAAGCCTTTTAGAAAAATCATAATCGGAGATAAAAACAAAAACGTCAGTTGAATATTTTTTTTCTCTCACATAAAGTATTTTCCAAGCTTACATATAATTTGAGAAAATTATCCCATATGTCAATTGGTTAAAAAAGGTTTATTAATGATTAACCAACTGTTTTCTATATTCCTAGACTACTTACTTCTACACTTGAATCTCAACGGTAAAGAGAATGGGTGAAGTAAGGTCAATTTATGTACAGAAAATGAGTTTATTTAAAAAGATGGATATGTGATGCTGACTTGCTAAAACTAGTAACAAAATAAGTAATTATCCAAACAAACAATGCCACAATTCATACTTTCTCTAGATATTTCCGAAATGTTTCTATTCGATACTAATTGGTCGGGTTACCAGAGACTTACTTACTCGAGGAATTTGTGGGAGCTACAAGCATTGAATGAGTTTTGATCAACTTTCTTCATGTTTCTGGTGAATACATTCAGTCAGTCAGTCAGTTGCAACGTAGAACTTCGTACGTAAGTACATCAGTTCATGTCGCTATACCACATCAGCACAGAGATGTAATTGTCAATTCAAATCCAATAGTAGAAGAGTTAGTAAGGGTATTAGAAGTAATCGGAGATGTTAGGATTAGAAGATACTATTCAAGAAGTATGATTCAGTGAGAAAAGTTTAGAGAGTCGAAACTAGAGGTGTTGAAGAATCCAGAAGATTAGGATTTGAGAGAACACAAAGAATAAATGCACTGGCGCCATTGCGAACGATTTTGAGCCATGTCATTCAAGGTCTCTAACCATCGATTATTATCATCTCGCGGACCCCAACCAGGTAGTCGACAATTACCGACATGGCTCAGTCCATTCGTCAATGACTTCATGGATTTCTGCCATGTTTTGGTTTGGCCGCCCCTAACTTTCTTCCAACCTACTCCTACACTACAAAACAAAGTTCGTCGAGGCAGTCGGTAGTTGGGCATACGCAACACACGTCCAAGGTGAATACATTTCCTATCTAAAATTATTCTTATATCGTAAACAGAAACAAATGACACTGAGCTTCCTACAGTTCACTGAGTCATATGATTTTTCAAATGACAATGAATGAAAAACAAAATGTCTTTAGTTTATAAGTAAGATTATTAAAGAAAAAAAAATATGATATACAAAAGATTAATTATATAAAGCTACATCTATATTAACACGAGAACGGGTTTTTATTCCTTATTATATCTACTATGATGGCTGTTTCATAATTTAAGGTACCTTTGTAAAAAAAAAAGCAGAAAATAATGGATCAACTGACCTTGAATTTACCAGTGGATTCATCGAATACCACGTGTAGATTATGCGTGACTTCTGTAGGGCCAGAAATTTGTGGCTCCGCTTTTTCCGATCGACCAAATTTAGGAAATCGGAACATTTTCACTAGGAAATTCAAGAAAAACATGGACAAACATTAATCCGCTAGTTTATTTAACAATATTATTTTACAAGTGAACAAGAGAAAAATCATTATTGGTAATAGAGGGTTGGTAGAAATGATTAAATTTTCATAAACTGCATCACAATTTGATTTCAGACAACTAATACAAACTAGAAAGCATTGGATAACTGTCTTTTTTTCCAGTATGAAACTCTTTAGCAATGTGCTAAGATCGATACATGAAATAATTTATGAAAGTATTGTTCATTAGAGATATCGTTGCTACATAGATGTGTGTAAATACTACACACATCAAGGACATTTTAACTACAATCAGAAGGATGGACTAAAAATTCTTACATAAAAAGTGGACACACGTAACAGGCAAGTTGATCATAAATTATACGTGAATTATTTAAGTTCCATACTTAACACATGTCAATACTTCGAATGAGTGAGAAAAGATTAAAATGAAGTGAAAATTCCACATCCTACTACTTGTACACCTATTTAATGGTATTTCTGTGCTTTTTAATAACTATCTTGGTTAAATAAAAGAATACAGATATTTGTTTTGTATTTGCAAAACAACGTAAAGAGGCATAAATATATGCATCAAACTGTCTGAGAATTACTCAGAAATGCTTTTTTCTTATGTCACAACCTTCGATCAATAACAGGATAAGCTGATATTTTCAATTATAGGAGAATCCAAAGAAATTAGACAGGGAACACAGTATACTTTCAACTAGACAAGAAAAACCTTTTGTGCCTATATGATACATACAATGAATTGAATGAGTTATGTATGTTAAAAACGTTTTTAACATTAGAATTTTATAATAAAAAAAGACGACAAAGAATATTGTACTTTTGACAAAAACATCATTGTGCAATAAATCTGTACGTTTATCATTATTATCAGACAATTGACATTTTTTTAAAAATTATCCGTTATAAATTCTATTGATAATAATAAGAAAGGGATATATGATGTACGAAAAACAACAACAACAACAACAACAACATTAGTCAGTCATTAATTCAGTGAAAGTAATAAATTTTTGACAAAGAAAAAAAGAGTGAAAGCAGTCAGAATATAATATCCGGACATAGTGTATAGTGCAAGTTACACATAGTAGTCATCAGTTGAAATATTTCACATTGCTTAGATTTAGTAAGCGATTAAGCATCGATTTGCTAAGTGGGAGTGGGGAGTCTCATCAGCGCTGATGGCCTGGTGTGTGACGAAATCTCAGCTCGGATACAGAATGCTCGATTAGCTTTTGCCAACCTGCGTCACTTATGGCGTAGGCGTGATATCTGTTCGCTAACCAAAGGACGGGTGTACTGCGCAGAAGTTCACTCCGCTCTCCTATATGGCTGTGAAACATGGTCGGTGAGAGTAGAAGATATTCGTAGGTTACTGGTTTTCGATCATAGGTGTCTTCGAAGCATTGCTCGTGTATCGCGGGACAACCGAGTAAGCAATGCTTTCGTTAGGAAACGAGTATTAGGTAGGGACAGCAGATCAATAGATGAAGTATTGAAATTTCCTGAGTTGAGGTGATTGGGACATGTGTTACGTATGCCTAACCACCGACTGCCTCGTCAAGCTATGTTTTGTGGTGTAGGAGCAGGTTAGAACAAAGTTAGGGGTGGCCAGACCAAAACATGGCAGGAATCCATGAAGTCACTGACAAGTGGACTGAGTCATGTTGGTAGATGTAGACTACCTGGTTGGGGTCCACGAGACAATAGTCACCAATGGTTAGAGACCTTGAACGACATGGTTCAAAATCATTCCGAATGACGCAGGTGCATCCATTCTTTGAGCTCTCTCAAATCCTAATCTTCTGGATTCGTCAGAACCTCAACCTTTGTCTTTCTAATCTTATCTCACTGAATTATACTTCTTGAATAATATCTTCAAACCCTAGTCTTTTTCATTACCATTAATACCTCTACTATCTTTATCACTATGGGATTTGATTTGACATTTGCGTCTCTGTGCTAATGTGGTATGGCAGCATGAACTTATGTACATACGTACGAAGTTCTACGTTTCAACTGACTGACTGACTGATTCAGTACTATTTGAAGCAGGCTTGAAAATCATTCTATTTAGCCAAACAAGGTATTCATTATACCAATGCATCGAAAAAATTTTCGTAAATCACTTCTAACTTAGTTTGTATTGGTGTTAGTTTGCCTTGTTTTTGTTGATACACTTAAAACTGAATTTTGATTAGTCTCCATTGGCATATGTACATTTACTGTTGATTGAGTTTAACCGATTAAATTCGAACTATTGAACAAAATCAATTCATGGGTCTCTCTTTTTTTCAAAATATTAATTCAGATGAGATTCGATGCCAAAAATATTATGCATAAAAAGGCGTTAAACTTTTCAAGACAACAACAAATAGTTTTTGTTGAATTTCTACATTATTTGCTTGTTATGACGGGCACAGACAGATGATGATGAATAATCACGCAATACTTGTGATGGAGTTATTGTCTTCGACTTAAGTTATCTGACATTACTTCATCCTTCGTTTGTGATCATTTACGTATAGTCAAATGACACGAAAATCATTGTCGAGATTACTCACATAAGCTGTAAATAAAAAAATTGCCCGTATGCATTTTGATAGTTCTAGAGTAATCAATTATCTGCCATACTGTTCACATGTGATCTACTTTTTATGAAATGACAAGTTGTCTAGTCATTATTTTCTTTTCATCCTACTACTCCATATTAGTATTGTACTTAGATAAACTTAGCGATTAATACTTGGAAGTTGGGTAGATTATTTAACATAAATATTAACAAATCTAGTCCAGTAAAAACAATTTTATGCATCTCTTATAAAAAATTAGACCAAATGAATGTTTCCTTAATACATGCTATGTACTAGGATATATATCATATATGATGATTAGTAAATGCTAAAAGAATAAAACGTAACAACAACAACAACAACAACAAAAACGATGAATCATACACATCTACATATAAAGAAAATGAATAAGCAGAATGAAAAAAAAAAACAAGGACATGGGATGGAAAGGAGGGTTTAAAAAAATGAATAGCATGTGCACACTGTCACAACAAAAGAATATGATACGTTTTTTCTTTTAAATATCTCCACTATGTACAAACAGACTGGTATTGTTTGCATTCATGAACGAACATGGATTGTGTGTACAGTAAAGATATGCTAACGTATATATACTTGAGTGTTTTGTTCGCTACTAGTGACAAGTTATGGTGTAAAACTAGGTAGGCTTTAAATTATGCCGTAGTATAGATGATGAATAATTTTCCGATTAATTAATACTGGATAATGAAATTAAAATGCACAGGAGCGATTATTTTTTACACAGTCAATAGGCGTAAAATGTCACCAAAAAAATGGTAAAACAGTCATGACAATATCATGACATTCGGTTATTCATTTAACTCAATCAGATATTTAAATGCTTATTACTAGTCAACTGTACCATGCAGTAATACAATATATATCTTATTCCATAGACTTTAGATGATCAGGTGAAACAGTTCGCGGTTGTAAGTAATACATAGACATTGACGTTTCTGAACTGTTGCCAGTGTCGAGATCCGATATAGACAGCTAACTGGAAGAGTGAAACTGACTCATGGATTTATTAACCACACACTCTGGTTGAAACACGTACAATGAAAGTCAGCGAAGCGTTAACCTCGACTACTCAGCAGGAATAGAAAATGCTTCAGTGTGTCTTAACCAAACAATGGTATTTATTGGTAAAATTTTAGCTGCAAACGTAACTTAACAATGGTCTTCCTAGATAGTAACTTGGATGTATCTGGAATCAATAGTCCGAGAATCTGGATACTGATTGATCAAACCAGTCATCGTGGTACATATGTCGTTATTTCATTGTCTCTTAGTTGTTTATCAATACAGGAAATGTAATTCTTGTCTTAATTACACTCAAGTTAAATTCTCTTCTTATCCGTTTATGTAAATAGTTTCACTTTGATAGATATTTCGTCATATGTAATAATATATCTTACAAAGCTGTATTAATTTATTTCAGAGTGAACTAATAATAATTTGTATAGAACAACAGACTTAGCTTATAGATACATGAAACTTAATATGATGTTTCTCTTGGATACCTAATTGACACAAAATGAGTTGATACAAACTTTCATAGAAGACTAACCTTTCTTTTTCTTTTTCTCCTCTTTCCCAGGTGGAGTTGGCAAAGGTTTTGATGGAGGCAAAACAAGTTTGTTCTTTTTGCGTCTACAACATAAAAACAACAGATTATTAAAATCCATATTGAAATTATATCTTTTACTTAAAGAGTGAATAAAGTAAAGTTCGTATATAACCTAAAATAAGTACTTTGCAATATGTAGTTTAACAGGACGTAATAATAATTACAATTAGGCAACCCCTAAAAACCAGGAGACATAGTTAACTGCTTTGTTCTAGGATGAAACTCTTCAGGAAGGAGCAACGATCCTAATTAAGGACTGGACCCAGGATCTTCAGGACTCGTGGACAGTGTTTGACTCTTAAACCACTGTGTTGGGATCTAGTGGCTTGGATCTCTAAATTTAGTCATTTAATGTGATCATTCTGATTTGCGATATTGTCACATACGATCCAATCCCGATGATTACAGTTTTTTGCTAGAATCCGAAATTTGTTATCAGTAAGTACATGATAACTGTCAGTATAGGGCGCTGTGGAGGTTGCTTTCAATAACCGAAAATATGGCAGTTCGATTAATATAGTTGAATCCCTGAACTTGTGATCATTAAACACCTGGCCAGTGCTATGAAGCGGGACATTACCGGAAATTAGCCTGTTTGAGAGTGTAGTATTGATATCAATCATTTCTACGTTTTGAAGCATATATACTTGTGTCCCACACTGGATGTGTTTGTTCACTTGAAGGCCATATTTTAGACAGAATAAGACGTCTTAAGAAAGTCAGTCTTTGAAGGAAATGCGGAATAACACTAAACTCTTTTACGTGAGCGTATAAAACTAGTCGACGAATGATATATAATTGTTTAGTTACTGAAAACGAGTAATATAAACCATGATTATTTAGTCTTATTACCTCTTTTGAACTTGTAAGAGATGAAGTGATAGGCTATTTCATTTACTCCAGAGGCAATAAGGATTGTTTGACTTTCTACTCAAGCATACTTCAATCAAATCAGAGAACGAAAACATCTTTTTGAAGGAGAAATGCGACCGTTCTATTTGATCACTGGATTTCTTAAGCCCCTTGAATGGGTTCTAGAGATGCTACAAATCAACGCTTGACCAAAAAGGGTATATACATTTAATTCTCATCTAAATTCTGGGGACTGAATGTATACATGTACATCGTCATATCCTACCATGTAATAATTTAGAATACTTGGATAATGAATTTTTTAAGAATTTTCTAAATACAGGGCTTTTTTGGTGTTAACATTACTAATCAGGCAGAATGAATAAGTTGTTAGTCTTTAGCAAAGAATAATAACAAGCAAGAATTAATAGATGAAAATAGAATGAGTTATCACATACGTTGCTTTGTTTACTAGGTCAAATAGCGGTCAAATAAAGCTTTCCCGATCTTGTTCAAAGATTTACATAATTTTAGTGACCTGATATGTCGAAACATTCGAATTATACAACAGGAATAAATATGAATCAAGGCTAATACGTGCCACCCTACACTTGGTAAACTAATAGTGCTGGTTGCACAGCCCATTACAGTTGTTTAAGAATAAAACGCCTAAACTTCGTAGAATGAGATACACGATCATAGGCTCAAGTTTTTACACCACGTACGTTGAAATATTGTCCATTAGAAAAGACCAAGCATCGGAAATATAGTTTGAGAAGAGTCAACATGCGGGATAAAAGATATACATGTTCAAATCCTAGGGGGAGATATAGGATGAATAGATGTGTTACAGGGACCGATTTTAAGCCACCACCCAACGTTTCGAATTACTGACTGCGATCATCTTGTGGACCTTGATTAAATAGCCTACACCTTAGTACGCAGCTTGGATAATAATTCAATGGCTTTATGAAGTGGTAATGTTTTGGTTTGGGGACTCCTAACTTTTCTCCAGCCTGTTATTATATAAGACAGCGTTGTGTTGAGGTTGATGGCTCAATTAATCAATCAATAGCAACTTAGAACTTCGTACGTACGTACCATCAGTTCATGTTGCCATACCACATTAGCACAGAGATGTAATTGCCAATTCAAATCCAACAGTAGTAGAGGTAGTAAAGGTATTAGAAGTAATCGGAGGGGTTAGGATTAGAAGATATTATTCAAGAAGTAGAATCTAGTGAAATAAACTTAAAAGGATAAAGATAAAGTGATGAAGAATTAAAAAGTTTGGGATTCGAGAGAACACAGAATGAATGCACCTGCGCCATTGTAAACGATTTTGAGCCATGTCATTCAGGGTTTCCAACCATCGATTACTAACATCTCGCGGACCCCAACCAGGTAGTCGACACCTATCGACATGACTCAGTCCACCTGTCAGTGACGTCATAGATTTCTGCCATGCTTTGGTTTGGCCGCACCTAGCTTTCGTCCAACCTATTCCTACACCGCAAAATATAGCTCGACGAGGCAGTCGGTGGTTGGGCATACGCAGCACATGTCCCAACCACCTCAACTGATGAAGTTTCAATATTTCATCTATTAATCTGCCGTCCCTACCTAATACTCGTTTCCTAACGACAGGGTTGCTTACTCGGTTGTCCCGCGATACACGAGCAATGCTTCGAAGACACCTATGATCGAAAACCAGTAACCTACGAATATCTTCTACTCTGACTGGCCATGTTTCACACCCATAAAGTAGGACGGAGCGAAATACTGCGCAGAACACTCGTCCTTTAGTTAGCAAACGGATATCTCGTCTGCGCCATAAGTGACGCAGGTTGGCAAAAGCCAGTCGAGCCTTCTGTATCCGAGCTGAGATTTCGTCACACACCAGGCCATCAGCACTGATGAGACTCCCAAGATAAGTGAAGCGGTCTACACGTCCGACTACTTCACTCTCTATCACTAGTTCAGGCACCGATGCAAACCAATCTTGAAGCAACATTTTGCATTTCGAGGGGGGAAACCGCATCCCGAACATGCTTGCATTGTTGCTTAGGGTGGTCATCGGCATATTCTAAGTCAATAAGCGAGCCTCCTGGTAAAAGGTTTACTCTTGAAAATTCATACGAAGATAAGGTTATATCTAGGAACATGTCTATGACAAAATTGAGCAAGAATGGAGAAAGTGGACATCCCTGACGGACACCACTTGAAGTAAAGGATTCCGATCACAGTTCGCCATAAGCTTTCACTCGACCAGTAGTGTCCGAGTAGAGAGCCTGTATAAGGCTGATGTACTTCTTTGGTACACTTTTCAATGACAGACACTGCCACAGAATCTCACGATCCACTAAGTCAAATGCTGACTTAAAATCCAGGAAGATAACTATCGTCGGGAGCCTAAATGTGTGTCTGTGTTCCAGGACCTGTCGTAGTGTGAAAATTTGGCCTATGCAGCCACGTCCAGGTCTGAAACCAGTCTAGTTTCCTCTAGTCTGCTCTTTACGAGCTCTAGTTAGGCGTCTAAGGGTTATCGAGGCTAACAATTTAGAAACTATATTAGTTAGACTTATTCCCATGTGATTGTCAGAAGAAGACTTTTGTCCTTTCTTATACATTGGGACAATCAGGGATTGAGACCATTCGGATGGGATTGTGTCCAGTTCCCAGATTCGACCTAAGATGTCGGTCAATCTAGCTGCTAAAGCTGGACCACCATCCTTAAAAATCTCAGGAGTTAGCCTATCAGGACCTGCTGCTCTACTCGCTTTAGATTTCCTATAGCTTTCTCAACTTCATAAAGACTAGGAGGACTTACATCGATCAGGACTGGGGATCGTGGGCAACTGAAGCGTGGCTGAAGGCCAGTTGAACTGGTTACTAAAGTGTTCTGCCCATCGATCCAATTTCCTGGATTGAGAATGAATGAATGATACAAAAATCCTTCCCTGAGATAGTTTCGCTAACAGATGGATTTCTAACTCCGGTTTCCTTTATAAGGCTGAACAACTGTCTACTGTTGCCTATCGCAGCTGCCTTTTCCATCGCTCACGCTTTCGCCACCCACCACTTGTTCTCGATCATTGTGTAGGCTTTTTATCAGCCTGTGCCTAAGCTGACTCTGCTCCTCATCGCACTCAGAGCCAAGAGGGATGAGCATCCATCAGTTCGGTAGATGCTACTGAGATCAACGGCTCGCTAGACTTATGGTTTACCTTGCTAGCAGATATCGCTGTCGTTTCCCCAACTTTTTTAATATCATTCCAACCTGCCTCCTGATGGGAATCGTTTAAATGGTCGCCTAACTGTTTTTCTAGTTGTTCCTGAAATATATTCTTAGCTTTATTATCATTAAGTAGAATACTAAGAGGCTTCCTTACGGTGTCTTTCCTACCTTCAGTAAGCCTCAAACAAATACGCACTCACACTAAGGCTTGATCTGAATCTAAACATGTGCCGCACAACGAGCGACAGTCCTCTATCGAACCTCTCCATCGGTGGCTGATGGCAATGTGATCTAGTTGCGTCCAGCGTTGAGACGACTTTGGATGTCGCCAGGTCAACAGATGCTTTTCCTTATGCCTGAAGATAGTTTTTGATAGAAACAGGCGGTTATCTGAGCATACTTGCAACAGACGGTCGCCATTATCTGTTCTCTGAGCCGCGACACCATAACATCCACCCAGGTGTCTTTCATTTTCACTCAGTCTACCTACTTGAGCATTAAAGTCACCAGCCATTATTACTATATCAGAGCGCCTAGTTTTTTGGAGAAGGTCCGAAAGCTTTCTGTAAAACTCATCTTTTACATCATCTGGGCTGCAGTCAGTGGGGGCATAGGCAGATATGATGAGGAGGCGACGGCGAGTGTCCCTATCTTTCCGAGTCCTTACTGTCCCATTCAATTGGACAGCGCACAAGCGACTATCTACTGGGATCCAGTCTAGGAGAGATAGTTCAGCCCTACGACTCATTGCTATACCTACACCAGTGAGACTCCTGGACTTCCAGATACACGAAGGGTAAATCGAGTTGCTTCTTTATCTTGACATGTGAGGTCAAGTAAATGATGCTACTCGGATCCTGTTTGCGCGTTTCTGAGACGTAGCATACATCGATGGCGGTAGATTCTAATGTCCTAGCTAAGGAAGCCTGTTGCGCTATTTGACACAATGTCCGTACATTAAATGCTCCAACATGTAGTCTAGAACGGGGTTTCAGGAGGCCAGGAATAACTTTTCGTGAACTCGCACCGTTTGCATTAGCGGTGCAGTGAGATAAAGGAATGTGAGTAGAGTTAGTCGTGGAGATAAGAGAGATGTTCGGAGGTGTAGGAAGGATTTAATTTTGACTAATTTGGTCTCGCGTGCCGTTACGGGTGTGAGAGCGGTTGTCACTTCCCGGCTGCCCACACTGTGAAAGGGTGTTTCTCGAGGAACCTGAAAAGGAAGGTAGATTAGCTTAGGTCTTAGAGACCTGGGAGCGTGACCGCAGAGTCTAAGGGACAACTGCTTGAGGCCAGTCACGCACGGTCTCTTTTCAGAGTATTAGCTGCGCTCTTAAAAGCTCTTAGTGGGCACCCTTACCGCCGGAGACGGAAATCCGTGAGGTAGGGTGAGGTGTGACATTTTTAGGGCCAACCTTTTCTAACCCTTCCTTCCTTGTGAGGAGACAGCATCACTGCAGATGCTGGTTGTCCGAGGGACACACCTTACTGCAGTCAGCAGTACGACTTCGCCCTCAGACCTTGAGTAGCTGCTTTTAGTCTCATCGTTCTCGAATCGACCTGCCTGGCTGGCATGGTAGAACCTTCAGGAACGTATGTTCCAGCCAATATAGCTCGGTTGGGTCATCACGATAGGCAAGCCCGACCAGCGCGTCAAGGTAGCAGCTACGGTCAGGAGGCAGATGGCTAGGTATCAGTAGAATATATTTTAGCAACCCCAGTCGGTGAATGTCCAAAGCTCTATACATCAAATTTCTGTTGGCAAGTAGTATCTTTTCTAACTAGCACTGTTTTCTTTAGTGGTTACACCACACTTATTTTCCAAGCACAGGTTTCATATACTTCAAGGTAGCATGAAGGCCAATGATACTTACTACCTGGCTTAGCAAACAAAAGTAAATAAAAACGGGGTTCAAATGTGCGATTTCCTACTTAAAAGCCTAGTTCTTTAACTACTAAGGTATAACTATCATACATAAGCAATGCTTTGAAGACACTTGTAGTCAAACATTAGTAGTATCCGAATATTTTTTGTTTTAGAGATCGTTCCAGTCATATAACAATATACAACGGATTGATGCACACCTTTTGATTAAGAGACTGGCATCTTGTTTGAATAGGGTGTGATACACTAGCAAAAGTTGAAGAGACTTTGTAGATGTGTCGAGATTTTATTATTCATGAAGCTATTATAGTTGGTGGGGCTTCCAAGCAGTTACGTTATCCATGCCTTTAGTTACCTTGTACGGTAAGAACAGGCATTGAGGAAAGCCAGTTCTGTGGCGACATCTTTGAATTGCCACTCGAGGTGATCAAGAACGGGTGTCAGTATTCCTATCAAACTACGTCATCGTACTTCATGTAGATGAACAAGTCTTCGAGTTAAATGAATATTATGGTTTTTAAGTGAACGTCCAAAATGAGGTTAAATGGGGCTTAGGGAATGTTTTGAAGTGTGTCTTATCATGTCACAAAGCCTGGTTTCTTATTTATTACAGGAAGTGAGCTTTGAAGATAACCGCGACAAATAGGTATCTGCTAATAATCTATCTGCTTTTGAAAGTTACTTTTAATTGCACCAATAAAACACAAAAAAGGCCTAAAATTAAGGACAATCAGACCATTTAATCTTCTTATCTCATTTTTGCAGCTACAGTACACTACATTTAATATCCTTATTAATACCAAACTACTACTAATTAGTAGATTTAGTGGCAGATGATTAGATCTCCAGTAACAGTTTTTTAACACTTAAAGGACTTGACTTTCGGCTGTTGAGCTACAGTCATGAGCGTTGTTTTATTTTGGCATGAGTCAGTTTTACTGATCGCATATCGACCTTGACGTAGTGGTCAGGTTTGGGTGTCTTGATGACCAAACCGAGCTATATTCTATGAGACACATGTTTCTTTATGTCCTACCATGCCAGGCAGGTCAGTTGAGGAACGGTAAGGCCAAGTTGTAGTACTGATTGTAGAGGGGTGTGACAACAGTAAGGTGTTTCTTTCAGGCAACCAGCATCTGCAGCAATGCTGCCTCCTCACAATAGAAGGAAGGGGTTAGAAGAGGTCGACCATGAAAACGTCACACCTCACGATACCCATCGGATTTCCATTTCCGGCGGTAAAGGGCTTTTGAAGAACGAAGTTAAAACCTTAGTAAACTTCCCATAAAAAAGCCGTGAGCCACCAGCCCAACGCAGTTTGTCCTGGGTCCTGAGGTCACTTCCCAACGTCACTAAGACTAACATTAATCCAACTTCCTTTTCAGACCCCTAAAGAAACATCCTCCCACGGTGTGGGTAACCAGGTAGCAACATTTCTCTTCATAACTCTAACAGCACCAAAGGTCAACTTGTTCACGATTTGTCAAAAACCAACATATTTTCGTCTCATTGTTTCAATTTGAATTCTGCTTATGAACTCTTAACGCACTTTCACTTTATCTGTTACTTCTCTAGTGCATTAAGTAACAAAGTTTCTATACAAAAACGGACTTCTGACTGTTGAAACCGGGAAGAAGAGGACAAATTAGTTTCTTTCAGAATATTGAGAAACGGGAGTTTGGTGCACGAATAAATTAATTATACACTTAAGAAATGACAAGTGGGTCCTACATTTTTGTTTCTCTTTATAGTGAATGGTTTGGAAATTTTCAAAATAACAGTCATCACTCAGTCTGCAAAAAATATACACGACCATAGCAAAACTGAGGTGAATTCAAATAAATAGGCTTTGATATAATGTTTCAACATTAATTCTCGGGATGAGATTACACTTAACATAGCTGAAGATTAACCGACATCTTGAAGTCAAATATTGCTTATTTAATCAGGTTCTTGACAATGGGAATCCGTACATATATAGAAGGACCAGATGGTAGAATGTCTATTGTGTAGGCGTTAAGACACGTAAGATGTCTTATCACAGCATTGCGTTTTCTCTTTAGTTAGAAAAGATTGATTTGCTTAGTGTTAAATTTCAACCAGACTTTACTGGTGATGCAATAGGTGATGGGAAATCTTAAAGATACTTTAATAGATGTGGGTGTGACGTTAGAATCGTCGCGCAGTGGCCTAATTTTGTAGACTACTAGCGTGTGTATGACAATGTGCAAGCCAGCTGCAAACGTTTAAACTAGTTACGGTTCTGTAGATAATTAAAGAGGGAAGGAACATACATGGCTGAACATCAGCAATGAATCCGTATCAGTTTGAGACATGAAATCCAACTCACTTTCTAGTTGTATGACATGGATCAGAAACTTATAGGCTAGTTTGAGTCATAAAACCTTGAGCACAGATAAGTCTGTTTTTCATTTTCAATATGTCAAAGCTAGCGAGCAACAGTTTAGAACAAAGTAGCAATTTACTTGTAAGGAAAGGTGATGGGTAATGAAGCTATCTTTGACTTATTAAGATCAAAGGATCAAGCATATTGTTTTTTATGCATTTATTACTATGCAATAAAGTCATTCGATGATTGTCAAGTCTAACAATCTAATCTAACCATTTTCAATTAACCTTCTGTAGTACCTTTGAAAATTGAAGTGTCACAGACTGCAAGAATCAATTATAAAATGGTCTACTCAGAATTTCCTACACACGTTTAAGGCGAAAAATAGGTCCAAAATATGCAGTGACTAGGACTGGCCAACAAAAACCACGATCTACACTTAAGCGCTTGTCGTGACAGACTAGACAGCAATTAATTATTCTGTGGTAACTTGACTATAACGGAAAAGACAAGGATTTCAAGGGAACATTTTCAAAAATAAACTATTGAATACATTGACTCACAGTGTACTTGAAGATCTGACAGGAGGAGCTGGAGCATGGTTAGGAATCTCTGATCCATCAATTAGAAAGGTAGCCGACGGAGGTGAAAGACGACTGAGATTATTATCAGAAGGACAAACATGATCGTCTAGTTCACACAAGCTACCCACATTTGACAAAAGGTGGCTGTCTTCACTTGAATAGTTTGTCTGAATAAATGAACGATTAGGCATCATGCACATTTGAGAGATGAAAATGTTAAAGTCCAACGACGTAAACCCGTCTGGATATAATCCAACCGAATTTGGAAGGCTTATGTGGAATTACAAGCCAAGAAATCATAGGGAATTGAAGGAAAGTGTTCAGTTTTATATTCTCCAGAGATTTAATAAAATATTAATCCGGAAAAGTGAATGACTAGTTCAGTATTACAAAACCAGACGGTAACCTCAGGTAAACCAAATGTGCCCCAAAAATTGCCACAGTTACCTGACTGTCTAAGTAGTGTAGAAAAACAAGTTTACGATAACTGTCATTGTTTTGAGTTGAAGTATGTCACATGTTTTAACGTAAATTTGTGCGTCACAGTGCATTTTTCTGTTCCTTCAGTGATTCGACAAGGCAACTCAAAATTAATTCTAGTTTTGAGCTCATAAAGTTGCAATGTCTGATCGGTTTTATGTCCTATGTTCAGCTGCGTTGCATAACATGCCTGAAGCTAACTTGAGATATGTTGAGTTAGTTAGTAATAGACTGAAGAAGTTCGCCGCAGTTTGTGTGTAAGTTTCCTGTTTCTTAGGCTTTTTAGGAAGTTCGAAAGAGATATCTTATTCAGTTAGTTTTACGGAGCACACATTCCAAACCAAACCATCTTTCACTTTGTGCAATCTACTGCTAGCCTAGTATAATCAGTGAATGACAAGGCTAGATAAGCATTACTAGGGATAATAAGTTGTAAAACAGTTAGGTGTGTTGTTATACATCTATGGTTCTTGGGACAATGCATCCAACAACGTTTCACATTCTGTATAGAGAGTTTTTACTGATGTCATTCTAACATATAGAACTGTAGTGATTCCACTTTTATGGAGAGAACGCGATTGGTTTAATGTAAACATTCATTATTATAACTCATCGTACCAGTGATAGTTTTACTGTACCTGTTTGTTTAATTGTACCCAAAACACATCTTCCCTTTTCCGTGACCTATAGGAGCCGTTATGCAACAGAACATCTAAAGTTGGCAACCTCTCGAATTTTTCTCACGAAGCTTCAGTTCCACGGAGACTAGACGTAGCACTTTTGGTCGGGAACTGCTAGATGCCTACTGTTCCATTAAACATTTGCGGCACACAGTAGAAGGTCGTGACTTTATCCTTTTCACTGACCGTAAGCGTCTAACGTATGCTCTGCATACCAAGTCTGACCGCCACTCACCACGAGTGCGCAGCTATTTGGACTTTGTCTATCAGTTCACGACAGGCCTTTGTGATATTAAAGGCGAGTCGAAGTATGTTGCCGATGCTCACGTATCCAAGTGAATACAGTTTCCTTACAGGTGCTTGACCTTCCTGCTATGGTCTCTGCCCAGGCAAATGACCCCTTCTGCACAGAAACACAACAATCTACATCTTCTCTGTTCCAAGAAGTGTCCCTAGCTACTAGCTCAGGCACTGTCCTGTGTGATAACTCTACTGGTTTACCCCGACCCATTGTAACTTCTGCTTATCATTGTCTCGTCTTCGATGCCCTTCATGGATTGTCCCATCCAGGTGTCGAAACCACATTACGTCTCATCGCTGCATGATACGTCTGACCCTCCATAAATAAAGATGTCTGCATGTGCGTAAAGCAATGTTCACAATGTCAGCGATCGAAAATGATTAGACACGTGGCTGTCCCCATTAGCACGTTTGCTACGCCTGATGTTCGCTTTGATCACGTTCATATTGACATTGTAAGACCATTCCCATCATCGCATGAGTATGATCACATAATCACATGCATCGAGCTTTTCACAAGATGGCCAGAAGCTATTCCAATCACTTCTGTAACGGTGGAAACAGTCTCTCAGCGCTTCATAGAATGATGGATCGAGCTTTTCGGTTGTACCTTGACTGTCGTGACTGACCGAGGACAAGAATTTGAGTCCGAGTTATTCTCCTCTCTAACCCGGCTGCTTGGTAAGGAGCGCATACTCAGTACCGCCTACCACTCAGCCTCAAATGTTTCATTTGAACGGTTTCATCCCCGTCTTAAAAGTGCTCTTCGAGCACAGGAAAACAACAATTGTTACGAAACTTTACCACTCGTCCTCTTAGGTATCAGAACGAGCTTAAATAGCAGACATTCAATGTTCCTCCGCTGAACTAGTATACGGCACAACAAAGCGTCTGCCTGGCGAATTTTTCACACCACAGAGCAGTGATAACTTCAATAAATCAGACTACGTTAAACGACTGTCTGAATCCATGCGAACACTGCCTCCAATGTCAACTCGAATACAGCGTCAACTGGTCGCTCCCCCTCGAGAGTCATCTTTCTGTTCACATGTTTTCATGCGAGCAGATTTGGTACGCAGACCTTTGCCACAGCTTTACGAAGGACCTTTTCACGTGATTTGTCATCATCAAGAGACCTTCAAGATTGATTGACAAGGCGCGTCGAGATGGCACTGATCGTCCCAAGCCAGCAGTTCGTCGATGACAGTGCTCTATCCGATAATTTGAGACCTGTTGCTCTACCTATCAAACCCGCTCGCCGCATCTCTGTCACCTTCGGACCCCACAGTAGATACTTCATTGACCTCATTCTAACATCCTAGTCAACAGCACTACCTGCAGACGAGACTCCGGACTCACGTCCAGATCAGGAGACCACGCAGTCCTTTACCTTGGATGAGACCGCAAGGTTCAAGAGGTACGTAGGAGATTACCGTCTCACGTTACAGTCAGCGCATACGCCTACTTTTACGCTTCCGCGACAATTAACAACGGGTATGGTATAGGACTCTATCCTCGTACCACATGCACACTACACTTTTCTCTGTTTCTTTGCTTTTTTATCCTGAGCCGACGTCACTCATCATTGCTTTGTTGGTACCGTCGACTTCAGTCAATCCTGGCGACAGCTGGCACCCACGCTCTTGTCAGTGCATTCAGTCGACGATTCAGTTCCGAATATAGCTGGCATATGTATCGTTTCAAACTCGGTCGTTGAGGTCATTTCTGATTCCTTTGCTCACTCTGATTCCGTCCTACGTTTGCAGTGTTTTCTAATCCCGACCTCTACGAACGCAATCTTCAGAATCTGGGTACGAGCCACGCTGGTGTTGTACGCCGAATGAAGCAACAAGTATGAGACGTTACTACTGGTACCCTTCAGAAAGGACCGGTGACGACCCGAGCACCATGAATCGCTTCCTGTTTATCAATCCTTCCGTCATACAATCGCACGTTTCGCCAATCAGTTCCACGAACGATGCCACTGCGTATCGAAAGAGTAAACCCTTTCAAGCGGGGAACTGCTGTAGTGAATCCACTTTTATGGAGAGGATGCATTATTATCATTATTATAACCCATCGTACAAGTGATTATTTTACTGTACCCGTTTGTTTATTTGTAATCAAAACGCATCTTCCTTTTCCGTGACTTTGGGCTTGCTCACGTACTCTTGATAGTCTCGCTTGCACACTTTAGCCAGATCTCGGTATTATTTCTATACCACGAGATCGCCAACGAATATACCTTAACTCTAATAGCAGCTGGTTTTCTGATTTCTGCCTCTGACGCGATTCAGCGTGGTTATAGGCGTAATATAACTTCAGTTAGTAATAATGATAATAATTTATTCTCAAATAACAAGATTTTACAAGAGGCGTGCCAACTTACAGGCAGGATCAACATGTCAAGATTGCGAACATATTTTTTTGAAACGCAGTTCAGTTACTGAAATATTTCACAAGATACACTGGTTTTGTAGTGAAGGAGAACACAGGTGGGGCAACCAAATTGTATTTAACAAAAATTAAAGAGTTACTCAGTAAAATCGGAAAACCATATCGTAAATCGTTAATTTGCAAAATATCATTTCATCATCTCGAACTGGACTGTTCCTGTTGCAAAACATCAATCCATTGTCCCCATTCATGCGTTTCATACAAATTCCATTGTGTTCTAACTCTTCCTTTCTTGATCTTCCCCCATCTTCCGCTGCCAGACATTACGTTGACGATCACGTCATATACTACTTATAAGTAGCTCGCACCACAGCTTCTTATAGGTGGCTAGAATTTTTCACGTAAAATTATAGATAATTTTCCAGATTGTGCATTGTACAATGCGAATAATTGGCGCGAGTTACAACGGTTGCGTTACGCCAAACTGGTAATGACTTCGAAACGATTCAAGATAGATCCAGGTCAGCACATAACAAGAATCGAGGTAAGTGTACTAAGATATGCTTGATATTCTTCAGACAATAAATTTACTGGCTGCCGGTTAAATTAACCAGGTCTTCGACAAATATCCAGACTAATAAATAAGGAGTAAAATGTGTTGCTGACAAAGAGCAATAAAAAGAAAGGGTCGAGGAGCAGAACAGAAAATATTCATGTTTAAAACCGAACAATGACTCAGCAGATACTTTTTAGAATTAGAACACTAACTTTACACCTGCACTTAAGTAGGTTAATGTAGACCATTTACCATCAAGATAACGAATGGGCAATTAATCGTATGATTAGAGGAAATAAACAAGAACCAGAGTGTTAGCAACAATGTTGATGTGCAGAATATAATGATGAGTCACAATGATCTGATTCTTTTGTGATATTTTATTTATTCTATTTCTTTTTAACTCTGTAGTTCAAGAAGTTATGAGTGAGCTCTTTTTCTGTATAACTGTTCAGATCTGCTTGTAATAGGATTTCTTGGTAGGAAGTTAAAACCAGTACAAGGTTACGAATCTGAGTCGTAGACGAGGTTAACGAGGAAAAGTGACATCAATATCACTGATTTGTTACATCCTGCCATATCGTATGGAGTCGTAAGCAAATAAAATGTTCTGCTCCACAGACATAAGTAGACTGCGGTTATTGCCACACTGTCCTGAACGCTGGTCAGACACACCACCCTCCCACCTTTTGTGATGTTGTGCTCTCTTACGTTTATTGATTGATTGTAAATAATGTTTTCTAGTCTACTCTCTATTTTTTGTACACCGTATCGGAATTTACATTCTCTACTAGCTCTATGTTACAAACAAACCAGAAAACTTTGATTTCTGTATCGAAGTAGCATATAACTCTGCTTTTAAGTGAACTAATGGTATAATTTGTAAGATATGTGCTAGTTAATAGGTGGTTTGGAGGTAGGAAGGATAGGGAGCCGGACAAAGAAAAAAGAGTTGAAATAATTTTAAAAATTCATGAGTAAAGTGATAAGTTGGTAAGCGGGCAAGGTTTTTGGATGGTAATGAATTCGGGAAAT